ACACACACACAGACACATACACACACACACACACACACACACATACACACACACACACAGACACATACACACACACACACACACACACACATCCCCCACTCCCCTTCACCTCCTGTTTCACCTCCTTCACCTCCTTGCCCAGTTCAGCGATGTCCTTGTCCAGATGACTACAGAACTTGTCTATGTTGCTGTTTCTTTCTCTCTCCACACTCTTTCTCTCCCTCCCTCCCTCCTCCCCTCCCCTCTCCTCTCCCTCCCTCCCTCCCTCACTCACCTGAGCCTCCTGTTTCACCTCCTTCACCTCCTTGCCCAGTTCAGCGATGTCCTTGTCCAGATGACTACAGAACTTGTCTATGTTGCTGTTTCTTTCTCTCTCCACACTCTTTCTCTCCCTCCCTCCCTCCTCCCCTCCCCTCTCCTCTCCCTCCCTCCCTCCCTCACTCACCTGAGCCTCCTGTTTCACCTCCTTCACCTCCTTGCCCAGTTCAGCGATGTCCTTGTCCAGATGACTACAGAACTTGTCGATGTTGCTGTCTCTCTCGGTCAGAGATTTGTCGATGGCGTTTCTCACGTTGGTGATGCTGGGGCTCAAGGTCTGGGGTATGGGTGAAAAAAACAGTGGTCAAAGTCAAAGTTTTGTTTTTGCTGTTTAGTTTTTTTGTTTTTGTTTTTTTATCTTTAGTCTTAGTAGTCCTTAACACTACATTTAACTCTTTATCTGCGAGCGGGGGATAAACCCACTACGCCAGGGCCCTTTTTTGGTACTAAATCTAAAAAAGAAGAAAATGTCACTAAATTGGTTATTAAATCAAAACAAGGGAACCTATTTTGATAGTTCCTCACGTAATGAATCAACTCCCGATAAAAGAAACCCGTTTTCAGCAATTGCCAAAAAGTGATTTGAAGTCTTATCTGACGCTATGTGTATGTCTCACCTGGCACCTGGATAGATAAGAACAACAACTCACCTGGTATATGACAAAGTCCTCGGGTGGGGCAGGCACCTGGAACTGGTCAATGAGCTCGTACATGTCCTTGACGATCATCGCCTCACGCTCCAGAGGGTCGATCTGGACAGGGGGGAGGGGGGGGGAGAACATGTACATCAATGGAGGAAAGAACATGTGTAATAGAGGAAGGAAGATGCGTAAAGGAGGGGAAAAAATGAGGAAAGAAGATGCGTAAAGGAGGGGAAAAATGAGGAAAGAAGATGAGTAAAGAACAATGTAGGAAAGAACTTGTACATTCTGAGATTGTCCCCTCAAAAAGCCCTCCTAAAAGATACGGAATATGTTCATGGGGGCCTAAAACAAACCATCAAACCATAAACAACCTAAACTGTGTGGGTGTTGCTGTAAAGCCCTCCCTCACCATACAATAACCCAACAAACAACCTAAACTGTGTGGGTGTTGCTGTAAAGCCCTCCCTCACCATACAATAACCCAACAAACAACCTAAACTGTGTGGGTGTTGCTGTAAAGCCCTCCCTCACCA